TTCGCTTAACTTTCGTAGCAACAAACAATGTGGTTGAGTATGAGGCCCAAATAGTGGGACTTGGAAATTCACATTTGGTAGTTAATCAAGTCAATGGACAGTTCGCTACCAAAGACAAAACAATGGCAGCCTGTTTGATCGAGGTTATGAACCTGATACAATATTTGAGTAATTTCGAACTCTCACAAATTTCAAGTGAGGAGAATGGTTAAGCTGCTCTACCTAAATTAGCGAGCACAAAAGATGAGGAGCTATTTAAAATTGAACCAGTGAAATTATTGGCAAACCCATCAGTCAGTCAGAAAAAGGAAGAGAACATGTGGCCATGGAGGGGCCCCTTTGACATAGGAAATAATATCCTATTTAAGGGATGCAACCCTCCCTGGAAACAAAGAAGCAAGAACTGAAGAAAGATACATTGGTGGGTAGCCGCAGCTGAGGGACAACAAAAGTAACATTGAAATTAGTGATGGGTGAGGGTGAGGGTGAGGGTGGGGGTGGATGTGATGATTTATTTTTTTCTCTCTATTTTTGTTTTCCTAAACTAATTTCAATTGGGGATTGAGATAATCGACTTATATCTTGGCATGACGACACGGATGAAATGAAATTATTGTTTATTTCTTGCAATCGGAGATTCATTACCATGTCACCATCGAAATTGGTTGAACGAGCCATTGGCGATGGTGGTGATGGTGACACATTGGTGGTGGGGCGGCTTGGTAATTGGTAGGGGTTGAAGGGAAAAGATGAATTGGTTAGGGACCTTTTCTTTATTTTTCGTTTCTTTGGGCTCCTTCGGTTTTTGTTTTTTGTTTAGCATCTGAGTGGTATTGCTAATTCTCCATTTTTAGCAATTTTTGCACCGTTATAGTGTTAAACTAAGGGCTTGTTTGTTGTAGATTTTTTTAGAATAAATATTGTCAAAAGTGATTTTTTTTTTTTTGAATTTTAAATAATCTGTATTAAACAAATGCTAACTATAATGGGTCTTAAATCTGCCGCATATGTAACATGTTGATTGCCTTGTTGGATTGACCATCTTGAAGTTATAAATTCGACAATAAAATGATCTTTATGCCCCTTTAGTAATTATTTCATTCCTCGCATCAAAAAATGATGGCTGCTCTTAAAAAGCTGAAAATTGGAGTGCGAAGCTGCACTATAGGCACTCGATTGCCTCTCCTTTTTATATATTTATTTAAATATTTTATTTTATTTTGTGTTTAAAGAGATTTTTTTTCATTTTGACGGTTCCAAACAAACACTAAATTTTCACTTCTTTCGTATTTTTTAAATTTAAAATAGATGGCAAATTTGTCATTTTCACAATCTTAATGGTCAAATTAGTAGAAACCGTGTAGGAGGGATTGTGCAAATTAGTTGGAAGTTAGGAGAAATAAAAAAAGTGGGAGCATATCTCAATCATTTTTTGAAGGTTGAGGACCAAATATATAATTTCCCATAAGCTAAGCTTGAGATGCGTAAGGTATGTTTGAACCACATTATTTGAAAGAATATATTCTAAAATAGTAGATTGATGAAGAATTTGTGTTTGAAAAAGAAAGAAAATTTATTGATGTGATAAAAAATATTATTTTATTGAAAATAGTGTGGTTGAAAATAGTTAGAAGAATGAGAATGAAAATTTTAATGTGTACCAAACAGTGGCTTAATTTATCAATAGTAGAAAGCGAGAACTGATGTCATTTCCTTGCTGCAAACCACCGCAGTTTTCATTTATTAAACGCCATTTTAATTGTATTGAAAACCTCTTAACCCTTTTTCACCGGCACTTTTGTCTCCATTTCTTTTTCCTTCTCATACTATCCTTAACAATTAATTAATACATCGTGTACCTAATGATTTTGTCCGAAACATGTGTTAAGTAAGCATAAAAAAAATTATTTACCCCTCAAATATTAAGTCTAACAAAGCATACAAGTATGGTTGCTCATCTCAAAACACCATGGATAAAAGCCATTATCAAGACGAGAAGAATACGATGAAATAAAGTTTGGGGTATACAAATATATCTGGAACCTTAAGTGCAATTAAAATATGGTGCAAATAAACGAAAATTGTGGTGTGAACATAATTATCCTCCAACTAGTTTTCAGTAACGTATCCGAACAGCAAGAATTTTGACAAGCACTTGCAAAATCTTTGTTGATATGAAAAACAGAGAATGTTCGAAACCAACTTAAGACGACAATCTTTATGCCACCGCCCCCAATCCGATCCCCATTTTCTTAGTCTGGTTGGGAGTGAATTACGGGCAAAAAGGAGCAAACTCCCGTTCTACCTTAACAGAACACCAAAAAGAGAGCAAGTAAACCATTGAGTATAAAGAATAAGAATTACAAAGATATAGCAAACCTACATTAGGGAAAAACCTTACTGGGATAAAAAGTTTATACTAGCTCGTAATTATACCAGGTATCAGTTATGTTGCATCATAATTTGTAAAAATGGCCTCGATTCTGTCCAGCGATGCCTGTAAACGTCCAGAATTCATGTTGAACAATGGTGCATCGGTGCCCAGTGCCCTGTAGAGATCAAATTTTCAGCCAAAAGCTCTTGAAAACCAGACAATACCAGCTTCAACAAAATGCTGATTTCCATTCAAATTTTAGTAAATGCAAAATAGAACAAGATAACTCACCCAGTAATTTCTGGAAGAACATAATCCGCCCTCCAACCAAAACGGAAATCCACTCCTGGACACAAGCCAAGGGATGTTTTATTCCGAATCCTGGATACACCATCTCCACCCAAACATGTCGTCAGCTTCCATTTCCAACCTGTAGCATGCAACTGAAAGCTATGGCCTACTCCTACCTGGATTAGTTCAAAATGAGATTCTCATATCATAAGCTAAAGAAAGAAAAGGGCCGAGGGAAAGAAGCAAGGTCAAGACCATCAAACCTGAAGATTCAGAAATTTTGTTATTGGGATCTTCTTGGAAACAAGCTGCACATCCTGGTGCAAAGGCTCGTAAATAAACTTCCATCGGCGTTCATAGGCTAAAGGTTTCAATACTAGTTTTGCATGGTAGTCATTCATGGGAGCGTTATACAACTACATTGGAGAAGTGTTAGTACTGTGTCAGGTAAAGTCCCAGAATAAAAATAGAAATTTAGATAGCCAGTACTAGATTTACCAAGATTGGTACAGTGATGTAAACCTCCCTAGATAGTATCACTTTAGTTTTATTGCAAATATGTCCAATTCAGATTTATGAAGTCCACATTTTAAAGTACGAAAAGAATGCATAGAGTGTTTGTAGCCCAGATTAAATTTGTTTACACCAACAAATAAAGGAGCGAATCAAAGTAACATACTGCTTCCGGTTTGAACTTTGTGATTTTCCTTATATGAACAAACTACACCACACAAATATCTTGGTAAAAGAACAAAGTCCTTCCTTTTTTTTCCCCAATGCTTGTGAGCTTAAGTTTCATGAATCCAAAGAGACACATTTCTCAATCTAAAACCCATTCTAAAAAATTATCAAAACTAAGCAAAGTGCATGTCCAAGTATTCTGAACATATTCTCATAGTTCCTTCATTCATTTAAGGCACATTCGGCACACCATATAGAATTAAGAGGAATAGGATTAGAAAGGATAGATTAAGGTGGATTATGGTGTATTGTTGTAATGCAGCATTTAGTACTATACAGTATTAAAATATGTATTGAGTATATTCATCTGTAGTTTTTCTTACGCATACATAAATTGACTCATAAATGATTTTATTTACTTATAATTAAATTTTTAACTTATAAGTTATATGCTTATATCCGATTATTTACTAATAAATAAATATTTTAGTTATGTAAGTATTTTTTTTGTATATATATACAAGTGATTGTTTACATACGTGGTTTTTTAACCTAATAAGTTAGTTTTTAACTTATAATTGAATTTTTGACTTATTAGCTTATAAGTTATAAGTTATTGTTTACTTACATGTGATTTTTTACCTACAGTAAAACCTCTGTAAAATAATAATATTGGGTCTGAGAAAATTACTATTTTATAGGGATTATTAATTTATCGATAAATGAATATTTATTAATTCATAAAGTATTTTATACTTTTGTAACCTGTATTATATTTTCCTAATACATGTAAGCACACAAAAAGACACATACATACATACATTAAAGAGGAAACATTAATGTACGTGGTTTTAAAATTTAATATTTTGAAATATTAATTGTTCAAGTTATTTCATGTACACATGGAATAAAATTTCTACGGTAATTAGTTTAACTTAAGACCCCCCAATCATTCCAAATTTCATACCTTTTTTCTACTATATCATTTCATTTGAAATGAATTAAAAAATCTGCAAGAGTCGATCAAATGAAGATATTAATGTTAAACAAAAAGTTAGTGAAGATTATGGAATTAATGGGTTGTGTAAAACTGTTTTTGGTTTACGCTATAGAAATGTGATGGATATCAAGCACCTTTTAAACTATTCTAGTGAAAATGTTGTAGTGATAAAATCTCATACTAATAAAAATATTATTCAAATAGTACTCAATATACCTATTAATGATGATCAATGATAATTGTGTTTTACCATTTCTTCAAAAGAGGTATTTCAATTAGTCATAACATTAAAATAATTAATTTGTACAAAATGGAAAAAATAAGCCAAATGTAGCATGTGCATTACAAATAAAAAAAAAAAAATCAAGTTGAATTTGGTTTGGGTATGAAGAAAATATTGTCAAATTAAGTTCGTTAATTTGTATTAGTACGAACTTTTATTAATTTAAGCATTTATTATTTTATATGGGCCTGTTTGGTACGGCTTAAAATTCAATTAGAATTGAAAATATAGCCGTTATTGGATCCCACTCGTCTAATAAAAATCAACAATAACGGCTAATTTTTCAATTTTAATCCGATTTTAATCTCTACCGAACACGCTATTAAAAAATTGAGGACCCAATTCCACACAAATATGGTCAAAGAGAATATTGCAAAATTTCAATGGGTTGAAGACGTGTGCTCTATTTTTTTCCAAATAAAAATCATAAACACACTGTGTCCAACAAGTTCTTCTTATATATGAGTCAATTGTTTCAGACTTCATTACAATATAATTTATGCTATTGTTGTCTTAGAGTCATTAATTTTGATGATTTTTTAGAATTATTTCATTAAATCTTATTCATTCTTGTTATCTATATATGTATTAGTTCAATATTTTATTTACATTTTTCTTCTTCTTATCATAGCAAATCATGTATCCTCTTTATGTGAATTAGTAATTTTTTTTTTTTATCATAACTTTAAAAATATTATATCTGGTATTGATATGGAACCTTTCAAGTATTTGGAGTTCTTTTTTCCAACAATTGCTCACCATATTCAAGCTTTCACTATCTTTCTCTTTTCAGATTCATATCTTTATAGAGGCAAGACAATACTCATGAAGTTTCAGAATTTAATCTTTGAATATTTAAAGTAATGCAATGTTTCAACATTTGGGAGTATTAGGTCTAAAGTGTATTGGCCAGTTCCATGTCCAAAATATCATTTAATTGAGTTATATGTAGAGTCGAGTTGTCGGGGCTTGGGAGTGTCTTTGGAAGGAGTTAATGTCAACATAATAAGACCAAGTCACCTAAAAATGCTCGATGTCCATCAGAGGAGCGCTCGAGTGGACGAGTCACCACTCGTCGCCCACTAGACCTGTGCTCAAATACTTCATAATTTGATTATTGAACTTCTCCACTCCACCTTCCACTTGTAGGTCATCCATTGTGACTTGAATAACTTGCTCATTATCCAACAAGCTTAATGCTTTACATTTTCGCTTTGTGTACAAACTCAGGAAGCTCGAAAAAATTCATCCCCAACCATCTAACTATAACACCTATTTGTTGAATTTAAACACTAAAAAATTGAATTTTATTGATGATTGGATTGCACAATTTTGGAGACACACCAATGCCACTCAACACTATCGTATTATTTACCAAAAGAAGACAACACTAATACAACTTATTTGCTTTAATTTACTCTCTCAATTATTCTTGCTGTCTCTTTCCTCAATTCTTTCTCACTTCACTAACTCTTCGCTCACTCTTTCTCACTCTCTCACTCACGCCTCATACATATTACAAATATGGAACTAGTATTTATACATCTTGTAAGTCGGTGGTCTTCCTTCCCCTCGTTGGTGTATATATAATATGATTTAGCCTCTGTTTGACACACATTAAAATTTTCATTCTCATTCTTCTATTTATTTGCAACCATACATTTTTTAATAAAATAATATTTTCCATCACATCAATAACTTTTCCTTCTTTTTCAACCACACATTCTCTATCGCTCTACTATTACAAAATACATTTTTCCAAAATAATGTGACTCAAACACACCCTTACGCTACTTGTACATCCATGTTTACTACTTGGGTGACAAAATGCAGATGTGGCATTTTTTTTAATTGGCTAGTAGACAAAAAACAAAG